ACCAAAAGACGACGCACGGCCCGGTCAACCTGTTTGGAGTCCCACGCAAGGAGTCAAGACAGATTTGGCGATCAAGCAAGATCCTGGTCGGTTAGAATAGGAATCCTTATCCGGCCACCTATGGCAATTATAACTGGCTAGGAATAGTTTCCAGATCTGTAACCCTGCTCCTTAAACTATATAAGGCGGGCAGGGGACCCCTCTAAAAGACATCTCTCATTGACATACAGCAATACAATCAGACGTAGGACGTAGGTATTACGCCTTATTGGCGGCCGAACCTGGATAAAACCTCGTGTCTGACCTATGTCACCATCTTGTTTGTGACTTGCGCATCTGTCTACCGATAATCTACTACCTTAGGCATACCCCTAGGTAGACTGTCGACCATATTTCGTCGATAGAGCCCAACTATAAAGTTATGGGAGAGAGTCATCGAGTAGCGCCTGCGAGGAACGACGTAGATATAAATAAACCAATTTGGTCTCATGCCTGGAAAGTCAACCACAGAAGCAATCTTCTTAATAAGACATGTTATGGAGCGGTTTAGAGAGCAGAAGGACCTCCACTTGGTTTTTATTGACTTGGAGAAGGCTTGTGACAAGATACCAAGAAATATTATATGGTAGTCTTTGGACAAACATAAAGTCCCATCAAAGTACGTGACCCTCATCAAGGACATGTACAACAATGTTGTGACTAGTGTTCGAACAAACGATGGTAACACAGATTACTTCCCGATTAAAATTGGACTTCATCAAGGGTCAGCCTTAAGCCCGTATCTCTTTGCCTTAGTAATGGATGAGGTTATCAGGAACATACAAGGGGATATCCCTTGGTGTATGTTGTTCGCTGATGATGTAGTGTTAGTGGACGAAAGCCAGGCGGGAGTAAATAGAAAACTAGAGTTATGGCGGTAGACCCTTGAGTCTAAAGGTTTTAGATTGAGCAGAACTAAAACCGAATACATGAGATGCGACTTTGGCGGAGCTACATAGGAGGAGGGAGATGTGAGTTTGGAAGGTCAAGTAGTGCCTAAGAAGGACACCTTTCGGTATCTGGGATCGATGCTATAGAGGGATGAAGATATTGATGCGGACGTTAGCCATAGAATCAAAGCAGGGTGGATCAAGTGGCGACAAGCTTCTAGCATTCTCTGTGACAAGAAGGTACCATAAAAGCTAAAAGGCAAGTTTTATAGAACGACGATTAGACTGGCTATGTTGTATGGAGCAGAATGTTGGCCTACAAAGATTCGACATGTTCAACAACTGAGTGTTGCAGAAATGCGTATGTTGCGATGGATTTGTGGTTACACAAGAATGGACCGAGTTCGGAATGATGATATATGTGATCGCCTAGGGGTAGCATCAATTGAAGAAAAGCTTGTACAACATCGGTTGAGGTGGTTTGGCCATGTCCAAAGAAGACCTCCAGAGGCACCAGTACATTATGGAGTCCTAAGCCAAACTAATAATATGAGGAGAGGTAGAGGAATACCGAAATTGACATGGGGAAGCAATAAAAAGAGATTTAAAAACTTGGGATATACCTAAAGATCTATGTTTGAATAGGAGTACTTGAAAAATAGTTATTGAAGTGCCTTAACCGTGACTTGGGGCTTTTGGTGGGTTTCAATTCTAGCCTACCCCAATTTATTTGGGACAGAAAGGCTATGTTGTTGTTGTTTTTTTTAAGATGTTAACTTTTTTTAAGACGTTCAGTGCTATAATTAACAAAGAAACCTGTTTTCAAAAGTGGCTTTCTTAAACATGGGCCTCGTTTTCAATTTTGTACCAGACCACCCAAATCTCAAGGACAGCCTGCTTTGGCCCAAAATGCCATGATGATCCAAGCCACAAACGAAGATTGAGGACACAAAAAAACATCAAACAGATCTAAAACCTTAAAAGCCAACACAATCAACTTATACTTTTAGCTAGCTACTAGTAAATAGAAATGTTGCTCAAAAAATAGTAAATAGAAATTCGTTTTCCAAAAAAATGATGTGACAATTTAGTGACAATGACCGAGAAAGTAAAGAGATTATATAATAAAGTAGAATCAACTAAGAGCCTAAATTGTAAGGTCAGGAGAGAGGAGAGGAGAGAGAAAAGAAGCGGACTGTAAGCTTACAGCCAGTTTAGACAGAAGGACCAAGAAACTTTGTAAGAGAGATAAGTGGACTATATATTAATAGTGAAAAGCTAACTACTATATGAGTGGGATGAGAGAAGGCTGCAAAGAACGTTACACCCAGCAAGCCGACTGTATATTAGCCATGCTCTAAGGCCATAGGAAGAAAAAAAACTAAAATAAAATATGTATCTGAAAGAAAGCCATGTGAAAGCATCTAGGCGCCTAGTTGGGTTTCGGTGATTAATGATAATACGTGATTACTGTGACTAACGTGTGTTTTGCAGAGGCAATTAAGTTAGGTCACGGTAATGGAGATCGATTGGGCAATTATGGTGGTCATGCCTCTACGATGGAAATCGTTTCGGTTTTCAAAGGATGGACGACAAGGTTAAGGATGGACTAGTTCTAAGTGTCGTTTGGTGTTGAAGAGACACTTAGAGTAGTTTAGGACTTTGTTTTTCCTTTAACCGTACTATTAAGGGGGGTATGGATAGGTAGCTTGACCTAGGTGAGTCTAGTAAGTTAGGTGTGGTGCACACTTGTTAAATCTAACACTAGGTAGCTCCTAAAAAGCCTTTAGATCCATTGGAGCAAACTTCATTCACGCATGATCGAGAGTTGGAAGTGAATGGAGGGTCTAATGTTGACCGGACGCTGGTTCCAGAGTGACCGGACGCTGGCTCAGAGTCCGCTCAGTTCATTTGATCAAGGTGAAATCGTCTGGCGCGACCGGACGCTGAGAAGTGAGCGACCGGACGCTGGGTGCCAGCGTCCGATCGACTCCAGTAAGGTTCCAGAGAGGAAAAATTGTGACCAATTTAAACACTGGAGTTTGGGGTAAACTGACCGGAGCATCCGGTCACCTCGCAGAGGCACATAATAGTTCGTTTCTCAGCCGGGTTTATAAATACTTCCTCCATTCGTGTGTGGGGGTACTTTTGCTCATTCCAACAGCTGAGAAACACCTTTGAGAGTGCCAAGAAGAGAAGGTCCGAGTGAGGCGATTGAGATTTGAGAATCCCAAAAAGAGCCCTCATTAGTAAAAGCAAGAGTAGCAAAGTGTGCATGCACCCTTCTCATTAGGCTTGTCATGGTCAAGTGAGAGTTCGTGCTTGTTACTCTTGGTGATCGCTATCACCTAGATGGCTTGAAAGTGATTGGGAGCTTGGTGATCATCCGGAGAGCTTGTGGATGACTTAACTCAAGTTGTGAGCGGTTGTAAGTGATTTACCGCGACGGAGTGTCGAAGAATCAACCTGTAGAGAGCACTTGATCCTTGCGCGGATCAATGGGGAGCTACACCCTTGCGCGGGTGCTCCAACGAGGACTAGTGGGGAGTGGCGACTCTCCGATACCTCGGCAAAACATCGCCGCGTTTCTACTCTCTTTACTTTGAGCAATTCAATTCTTGTCATTTACATTCATAGAATTACCATGCTAGAGTAGGATTGGAACATAGGTTGATAAACTTTTGTACGGTAGTTCAATAGAAACATTTTCTAGACATAAGGGATTAAGTGGGCTAACCGTAGGGTTTAATTATTGCAAAGAATTTTAGAATTAGCCCAATTCATCTCCCTTTTAAGTATCTTGATCCTTGCATCGTGAACAGAATAATAAAGGTATACCTCCATCTAAAAGAAAACCAAGACCAATTCTTCCAAACTTTTTTCCGCACAACCTCATTTGCATTAAGTCAAATAAATTCTAAAACTCGTAACAAATGCTAATCTTGTATGGAAAATTGAATGAAGATCAATCCGCCTTAAATAGGCGTCAATTATGTGCATATGTTGTGCGCGCGGCTAAGAAAAGTGGAAAACGGATCACCCCGCACGCGCTGAGCTATGTGGAGCTACGATACGTGCGGGCTCAATTAGTCAGACCACTGCACGAGTGGTGAGACGTCAACAAATGTTTTTTTATTCTAAAAAGAGAAGTCATATGGAGAGATGAAAAAAAAATATGTGAGAATGTGGGGAGGAGTCGGACCGCGGGTCGTCGGAAGAAGAGACGTGTGAGTGAGAGATTGATTGGGAGAAAAAATGATGACAAACTGAGCCTGTTTGAATCATCTACTCTAAACTTTAGAGTTCTAAAAATTTTAGAGTACTTTAATTTATTTTTGAGGTCTAAAGTTTTACTGTGAGTTGTGAGGTGGACTAAAATTTAGAGCTAACTTTAGACCACATGTTTAGAGCTATAAAGTTTAGAGGGGTGGAGCCTTATGGCCTCTTTGGCACGGCTTATGCCGGCTTCGGCTTCATCTATTTTACGTAAATCGAGGCACTGTAGCGTGAAGCCGTTTTGTAAGCCGGGGTTAAAATAAACTCGAAGCCGAAAAAAACCAGTTTTTCTGGTTTCACCGGCTTTGGCTTCACCGGTAAAACCGTTTTGGATCAGCCGTACCAAAGGAGGCTTTAATATTAATAGGTATACAGAATAGTTACATGCGGACAGATATGAGCAGCCCATAAAATAGGTGGACAACAATTCCGTAACATCGGAGGTGCCGCCCGCCAGCCAGCTCCTTACACGGTTACACCCAAACCACCAGGACCGCACGACACCTGAACCACCCGGACGCGTGACGGACTTGTTGGCCTATTGCCAATTGCCATGCCATGGACCAAACGCACAACGCACGGGATATCATCGTATACATGGAGGCATGGAGCGCACGCCCACCCACGCAACGCTTCCTCCTCTCGGAGCCAACGTGACGGACCAGCCGCACCATCGCACTTCGCAGACACGCACACCCGGGGGCGGGCGGGGGCTATAACTTACGCACTCATGGTTTGGTCCGGGGCCAACAGAGACTAGGTAGAGAGGAAGAGCGAGAGCGCGCCACGGCAAAGATGCTGCGGAGGAGAGCGAGAGACCCCGCCGCCGTCTTGATTCTACCTGCCATCCTGCTCCTGGCGGCGGCGGCGGCCGCAGCGGTGGCCATGGCGGCGGAGGAAGCGTTGCCGTTGCCGATGCCGATGCCGATGGAGGTCTACTTCACGCCCGCGGAGCTGGCGCGCATCGCGGGGTACGGCGAGGAGCCGTTGTCGTCGGTCTCCGTGTCCGGGCAGCTTACCTGCGAGCTCTGCCTCCGCCCCGGCTCCCACCTCCTCACCTTGGAGATGCCAGGTACTCCCAAGTTCCTTGCTTTATTCCTTGATTGGCCTTAGTTACTCCTAATCCTAGCTGCTGCTGCTGTTTGTTAATTCCACGTACGTAACCACCTGAATTGGAAATTGAAATAACACGCAAATTGAAATAACACGCAAATTCAAACCACCGCTTCCGGCCGGGCGATATAATCCTGGCCGGCTGATGAAGGAACAAGGAAGAGAGATCACTTTCTCGTCCCATAAATAACTGCATAAACAAATGATCCCTGTGCTGTGCCGTCGTCTCAGCAACGCGTGCCTGCCAAAACCGCCCCTTGATTGAATCGTTCAGAGAGGAGCGAGCAGACGACTGGTCCTTTTCGCGATGGCTCTGGTTGTTGGCCGGTTAACGCCGTCGAGATGGGCATGCATGGCAAAGCGGAAAGCCGGGAACCAAAGCAAGGTCGTCTGGTTCGTCGTCGTCTCTCCAGCGGATCGATTCGATCGAGTACACCACGAGACCTTGTCCTCTCCGTCGAGCAGGGATTAGTCGTCGTCGAGCACGGCGTACTTAGCTTGCTGGTCAGGTGCCTCACGCAGGGACGGGACGGGACGGGACGGCGTCGCCAAAGCAACGGGTTCACGAGGAGGAGTACCGCTTGAAAAGGTCATCCCGTTCGCTTGCTTGTAAACGATCGTAAATTTCTAACCGAAAATAGTGTTTTTCTCTCACACCAAACCAGCCAACAATAAATAATCCACGATACGATACGGTCTTCCGAACAGGTCGAACAGGTTGATTACCGTTAGCGACCGAGCCAGCGTTTGGTGCAGGGTCGGCTGGTATTGCCTATTATTGGAGGAGGTTTTGGCTGCAGCGGAGACAACTCAGGCAGTACTTAGGCTGGGAAATAATAAGCCTCGCCACCTGACAAATTAGTAGCCGTGGAATCTAATAAGTACTCCGTATAATTTAAAATAGAGGGGTACAAACGATTTTTTTTATAGAGCACAACAAAGTTTAGACCCTGTTTTTATACCTATATATATATAGTAGTTATCTGCTAATAATTATCTCTTTTAAGTTCAAACAGGTATAAATAATAAACTAGCTAATTATTAGTTGGACCTTTAGATAACAACTATCTCACTAGCTAGACCAAATCAGATAATAAGATATCATCTCTAAAAGTATACTATTTTTTCTCTCCCAAAAACATATAGTTTTGCAACTGCTAAAATGGTGTTGGGAGGAAAAAAAAAGAAGGCAATGTCCAAGAGTTTCCAATAATCAACTCCTAAAATATAGAAAACGATTTTACATCAGGAATCCTATACTGTTCCTAAATTATCGTAACTACTTTTATATATTCCTTCTCTTTTGTACATTTGCATTAGGAATCCTTTCCTACTCATATTCTTTCTCACACCCTTACACCTTTAGATTGACCGACCCATACCCACGGGATAGCAGTATCCGTGCGACCGTGACTACGCGTAAAGTTACGCACGACGGGGGAGGATTTCTCAAGTGTATAAAATTTAGGAGCATGGATTAGGAGTTGTTAGAGAGGGGGTATTTTTCTCATTTTGCTAAAACCAAGTATTAGGAAGAAAAATATGGTCCTTTTGAAGATGTTAGCCAGCTAACTATTATCAGATAATGAATCAAACAAGGCTATAGTTATTACTAGTTGGAGGCATGTCGAGGTATATGTCCGCCCCATATCACCGCGGAAGAGGAATTAGGTAAGCCTTGCAGATTAGTTGCAACAATCCATCCTTGCTATTCAATGTTATCCGAGAGTTCATTCTTGTATGTGCCGTAGTCTCGTAGCCACGGTTAGCTCGCCTAATTCTCCTATTCTTTGTCTACTCAAGTATAGCCACTACCATACTGTCTGTGGGCCGCCAAATGCTCTCTTCCTTTCTGCGTGGCACCATTCAGAGATGAGACTGTGGCTCCACGGGAAGCTATCTAACGCATCTAGCCACTGCTGTCTGAATCCGATTTGATGCGTATGATGGCGGTGTTATTGGTTTTGGTCGAGACGCACACATCTCCCTCCTCGGTGCTATCGCCACGCACTGAAAGTGATCTTTTGGAATCTGCTTTAGATGCGCCCCCCAAAAAAAAAAAAAAAAAAAGAGACACTGGAGAGCTGCTCATTTCCCATTTTCCTCCGATGGAGAGTTGCTCGCCTGTTACATCTCTGAACCGGTGCGCTCCGAATGGGCTCCAATCCGTAGCCGCCTTCGTTTTCCGTCCGCGTCAACGGCCGTACCGTTAATTTCCGTATCACTACAATCTCCGAAACATCAGCGCTGTGTTTTTTTCTTGCTAATGGTTTGGCATCTTGCACGAATTGGTGTTTCACTTCTCCAGATTTGGTATTCATTGGTAAAAGCAAAGTTTAGACAGATCTTTTAAAAAAAAAAAGTTTAGACAGATTGTAGCAAAGTTTAGATGACTATTTCCAATCGAAGTTCAAAAAAAATCCAATTAACACATTATTGGTACCACTTGTTCTTCATTGACAACCATCTCTGCATAGTTTTCTATGGGTGATGATGAGTTGTGTAATTTTCTGATCAGGTGCTAAGGTAGCAGTAAGCTGCAGAAGTGAACGGACTCCCAACAACCAATTGGATAGCTCTGCATTTGCTACGACGGATGAGTACGGCAACTTCACGATTGATCTCCCTCCCCAGCTCCACGCCACGCCAGACCTGGAGAAGGCCTGCACCGTCAGGGTGCTCCAGCTCCCGGCAGACTCGTGCCGGCTTCGCCACCGCACCGGCGACACCTATGGCCTCAGGCTATCATCTGTAGAAGACGGCGTCCGAGCCTACACTGCTGGGGTGATACGGCTTCAAGACAGCGCTACGCCGTCCGATCATTGTGTGGGTGTGGAGCACATGTCTCAAAGAAGATGAACAGTTGAAACCGAAGCCATAGGATACGGATGGTGGTATATATGGCTATATGCCAAACGAAGAGTTCACGTTTGTATGGATTTTTGAAGGGGAGGTTAAACAGGAAAGATACATGACATGCCGACTGGGCCTTTGGTATAGCAGGACTCAAGCATGTAAACAAATGTAGACCAATATGTGTACAGTTCTTAGTAACGATAAATGTGCATGAATCAGACAAGAGTTCTTATCATCTCGTGTATGTAGAAAAGTCACTAGTTGACGGAGAATGTACATTTTATAAGATCAGGCCCCAATTCTCTCATCACATAGCTTAAGTAAAAGGCCTGCAGTCAGAATGTCAGTGAAAAATTAACAGAGATTGAACTGCAGAGGAAGCTCGCCCGATGCAGTGATAGCCTCGACGCAGTCACTACCGTCATATCCTCCTCTTCACGGCTCTACCGTTAAAAATACTTTTTATGTGCTTTTAGAAATGGAGGTATTTCATGAAGCGGCTAGAAATTGTACCATCTCATCTCTTGAGACGGTTGGCAATTTGGTCCACCACTAAAAATATGTGTAACATATTCCAACTCAAGCCAGATAAAGACAAACTTCGCAACAAAGTTGTAGTACTTGAATAGATTTGTAATTTTGTACTTAATGAGTTTTTTATTTCAAAACATTTAAGGCCCAAAAAATTTGTTAAAAGTTTTCATAATTTGATATATCTATAACTTTGTAGGTAACTACTTTTTTATTTGAAATCATTTAGTATCCCGAAATTTTGTTTTAAGTTTTTAGATTTTGATTTTCTTTGAAATTTTCAAATTATCTTGGATGGAGAAACGACGTAAAACAAAGTTGTAGCACTCGAAGAGATCTGCAACTTTGTAGTTGATGACCCTTTTATTTGAAATCATTTAAGGCCTGGAGTTTTTAGATTTTGAGTTTTCAATTTTCTGTTTTTTTTTCAAATTACCTCGGATGGAGAAAAACATAAACCAAAGTTATAGTACTCGATGAGATCTAAAACTTTTCAATTGAAACTTTATTCATTTGAATTTGTTAGGTCTCAAATATTCATTACAATATTTGTTAAAGTGAATACAAAATGATTGTATCAGCATATTTGTCACTAATGACTTTGAGGTGGAGTGGTAAGAAAGCAACGTGTACGGCCTAAGGCAGTGAGTTCGAACCCCTATGGCCTGGTAAGCCTCTCTACAGCTGTCTCTACAAACCTATATTTTGGTCGCCTCTAAAAATGTTTTCCGTAGTAGCGTGCCTATCTCTGGTTGCATAGTTTCATGTATGAAATTGAGTCTAAAATAAAGTATGAGTTCAAATGGCCAACTTGATAGTTTAGGGATGAAATTGAATCTAAAAATAAAGTTTATGGATCATTTGTTTAAGGATGATAGTTAAAGGATGAAAATGGCTACTCTACCATATTAGAAGGCTTAATGAAAATGAATGCTTCAAAAAAATGTTTAAGAAAATCATATTGATTTACCATAAGGGCTATGCAAATTAAACACATTTTTATTTAGCACAGTGGTATTTGGCAATGCATTATGACCCAAAAGAAGCAAAAATAATTAACACATGGATGAAGAAGTGCTTGTATGCAAGTTAGAGTTCTTATGTAGTAGAAGCTTAATGACATGGGGCATATATGAAGCACCTTAAATTCAATCAAGTTTTTATTTTGAATACCCTTGTTGTGCTCATTTTGATACAATCTTTCAGAGGTACTGATAAGATAGAGTGTTGCATGAATATGCTCATAGGTGATACGATGTGTATGTGTGTTTGTGCCTATACATTGTTTCAAAGAAAAAAGTCTCAAGCCAAAAAAAATGATGCAATTATAGAATAGTGCTAAGTTAAATGGTTTGAAGTTTGGCTAAAATTGTATTAAAAATGCATTAATATTAATCATATTGAATAATTAAGTATCACAAGATTCGTCATAAAATATATTTTTATAATATACCTATTTAGAGTGATACATGTTGATAATATTTCTACAAATTTTGTCAAAATGAAGATAAAGATAGTTTGATAAGGCCTAGAATTGTAGATTATCCTTTTAAGACAGAGGTAGTACATTCTACATGAGTCCATGCCTTCTTGCACGTGAGAACAATCGGTACAATCTATAAGAATACAAAGAGCAAAAAAAAAAAAATCCTATATTTTCTTCGCGATGTTAATCAGTCATTTTCAATGATCAACGACGTCACATCGTCTTGGCCGGTAATTTTCCGGTTCACCGGTGGAATGTAGAACATCTCACCTTCTCCTTCCTTTGGCCTCGGCCGTCAATCCATCTGTTTAATCGTATCGTATGTTTTCAGCTATTACAAATCTAGCATTCACCTCACCTCCAAGGCTCCAATCGATGGCGAGTCGGTGACGCATGTTTCTACGTCCACATGCGAGCGACGCAGCCGGACAGGAAGGCGACGAGCCGGCGCACCGAGCCTGCAACGGACGCGGCGCAGAGGCACGCTGGGTCCCCGGCGTCGCCGCAGCATTCCGGCCACGGCCGCAGGAGGACGCGGCACCGCCCGCGGTGCAGCAGCCTCCTCCACAGCCAGCTGAGGCACCCACGGTCCCGCGGCGGGACGACGATCGCCGACTGGAGGTACGCCGACGCGGCGTGCTTCAGCAGCTGGTTGCGGATGTTGATGTTGGACGCGTTGAAGTCGATCGCGGCGGGGCCGGCAGCGTCCCCGAAGCTGCCGCCGCCGCTCCCGGGACCGGCCTCGGCGAGCACGTCCCGGAGGCTCGTGTACTCGACGCCGCCGCTGCTCCCGCTGCTGCTCCAGCTCGACGGCCGGGACCGGACGGCAGCGCGGGGCGGAAGCAGAGACGGCTCTAGCGGCTGGGTCTCATCAGCGTCCATGGTCCACAATTCAACCTCATCTCATGTATTCGCTTTTTTTTGTTTATAATATATATAAACATTTAAAGCCTTTGACGTGGAAAGGATAAGGATGAAACAGATAGCACGATTAAGCAGTTCTATGAATGTGCTTATTTTCTGAAGGTTCTGCCTAAATGTAGGGAGCCTGGTTGACCTTGCGTCCTTGCACATAGGTGAGGAAATGCCACCTGGAAATGGAATGGGTTGTCTGCATTTCGAATTGTACTAACATGCTTGCTTTAGGGTATGTTTGATACTATAAGAGCTAGTAATCGTTAGCCAACTGAAATATATAAGAAGTATTTTGCACAAGATTTTATTATTTTTTATGAATATGCAGAAGAGTATTTTCATGAATGTGCAGAAGTGCTGTGACCTTTGCATTAAGAAGTATTTTGCACAAGATTTTCTTAATTTTTTTAAGTTTGATTATCAATATTTGTTAAATTTTTTAATCTGTAAAGCTATTTAGTTTGGGAAAGTGAAAGGCGCATGTAAATTTGTCTTGAAACAATTTCATAATATCACATCTTTTGATTTTATTATATATTTTAGTGTTACAATATTGGTCAACGACACATTGGTATCCAAATATTAGGTATCCATTTGGAGGAAATATCTTTTCAATTACACCATAGACTCAGCTAAGGCCCCGTTTGGATGTCAGTTGATTTTGAAATCAAGTAAAAAATCTTAGAATCCCATCCAAACAACTCAAGTTCTACTGGTTGGATTTTAACACAGAGATTTTTTTAGAATATCATAATCCAATGAAACATGGATAATAGAAAATAGTGGATTCTAAGAATTCTTATCCAATCTAAACGGGCTGTAAATAGCTTGTCTACATCCATCAGAACCTATTCATGCCACATGATAACGGCCACTAGTTCCAATTTTCAAATCAGAACCTATTCTAAGAATTCTTATCCAATCTAAAGTGCTTTACGTATTTATTGTGTTTTGGGGAAAAATCAACCCTATTATGTGATCCTGCACAGATGAGTGAAGCACTTTAATTTGGATTTGGACTCAACAAAATTATCAATCAGCTAGAGCTTAGCGTCACCGAGGACTTCAAAGATCACGAGGGTGGCTTCTCTTAGGACTTCAAAGAACATGAGGGTGTGTTTGGCAACTATATGAGAAGGGGTATGCGAGTTAGTGGAAGTTAAGCTCTAAGTATCTTTTACCAAAGGAAATAATTCCAGAGCTAACTCATTTTTATTCCTGTTTTTTTAATGGAATATATGTCAACGGTACCATGACCGGACAATCATCCATCCTTCTTTCCTTTCAGAATGATTATCCATTGTTAAGATTGCATATTTTCTGATTAACTTTCTGTTGGAATTTTCAGATGCTACTTAATAAAAAATGCAAAGAAGGGGAGCGCGAAATCATATGGCTTGATGGTAGATTCATAGTGCATGTGAATGCTACCCATTTATTTGATATTCATCAGGGTAGCAATAGCTGATACCCTTAATATACGATGCAACAAGTCGCATAACACGTAGACCTAAGTAGCTAGAATCCCCTGCTCTGTTATTTCTTTTGGGGCGAGATGGGTGCCTACGAAAATACAGCTATCTCTGTTCGGAGGCTTCACTCATCCGTACAGGTCCCGGCCGCATCTGTCGCAGACTGGCTTCTCTGCCTCAGATTCTGGCTTTTTTATCTGCTTCTGCATCTGTGGCAAGTCATGCTCCAGCACGTCACTAAGCGCCTTGGATGCTTCTGCAAGCTCCTCAGGACTGAAAACCATATATGGTTTAGGTATCAGCTGGCGGACAGTTTCTGGTTCCGAACATGTAATCGTACTACCAAATGAATGAACAAGGGTGTGACTGTAAACACTTAGGTGAAGGATCATACCTGATTGAGAGGGGAGGAGCAAGTCGGATTATAGTGTCATGTGTGGGTTTCGCTAAAATGCCTCTCTCCTTCAACTTGATGCAGATGTCATATGCAGAAGCAGGAGATAGAGCGTCATTGTTTAAATCCACTGCGTTCAGCAAACCCCTCCCGCGCACTTCTCTTATGATTTGAGGGAATTTCTGCTGAACCTTCTGTAACTGGT